CCCCCCCCCACTTGCTAGACGGGCCTTATAGTACAGCAATGCTGCCTAGATACCGCCCCTGGCCACACGGGTGGAGCCTGATCCTCCCACCCTCGCGCATTAGGAAAGTAGATAAAACGACAATAAAAACACACGCGGCGCGTTTGGTACGACGAAGTGATAAAAGCAGCACCATCATCACCATCCGAGCCTACCCCCACCCCCGCGAAAAATAAGGTCCTTTAGCTTTTGACCGAACTCACCTGCAACGTTGAGCATGGACTTGTACATGTACGAGTGGTAGTAGGCCACATGGCTGTTGACGAGCAAATTGTCACTATCAATCTCGGCATTGATAGCCATTTTCGAGTCAGCAGATAAAAGGAAGTTGTCGCGCCGTGGTAGTGACGAGAAGTAAAGCCCGAGGAAATAAGCCCCCTCCTCACGATACGGGAGGCGTGGCGATGAACACACTGTGTCTGCGCGTGCAACTATCGCGGTCGTCGGGAGAAGGATTGACGAGAGGAGAGTCTTCGCTGGAGGTCGGTAGAGAGGTCGATGAGAGATCACCCCTCCTGGAGGGAAGCCCCCGGCTCGCCACCCCGCGGCGTCCGCCGGAGTTCCTCGAGCAGGAAGGAGAGGAGCGGACTTGAGGACGAATCGGGACGTCTCCTGCGCGCCGACTGACAGCGAACCGCCCCCCGCGTCGCACTGAGAGGAGAGGTCGCCCGAAAGCTCTCTAAAACATTTTATCATCAAACCAAAGAGAAAGAGAGGAGGTGCCCCCCCCCCCCCCCCGTCCCTCCTTCCCCGTTTCCCTGCAGAGCAACTCGTTTACATTGCGCCTCGTCGCTAGACAAGCAGAAACGGGGAGAGCGGTAGAGGATTAGATGCGATTAAGAGCAAACCTTAATAAGCGCACGACGACAAGCCCCAGCCCAGCCCGCGCAAGAGCCAACACCCGGCGTCGCCTGTGAAACCCCAGTCGCGGGTATCGGAATGATGCCGGAACGCACGTCAAAACGGCAAAATCGACTTCAATTGCGAAAGCTTCGACATTTGTTTCTCGCCGGGACACCCACCGAATTGCGCCGCGCTTCTTATTTATAAGTGGTAGTTTGGCCGCATATTCAGGGCATTGCTGCCCCCAACTTTATCAGCGTTGCAGTCGTGCCGCCGTTTATTTCCGCGGCCGTCGCTGTACCCGCTCCGCCGCTATATAGCTCTCAAGGCGATGGGGAAGATAAGGGGCCGTCAACACGCTGGGCTGGGTACCGCCGCGCCGCAGCGCAGACGAGGGAGAAAGGGG